ACCTCTATTAATATACACGCACGTAGAAGATTAAGTATGAGTGGGTTTGCACTCAAGTTATTGGTATGTTCTTCAAAATACGTGAAAAATGTTTGACGATGTTAGATTCAGTGGAGATATTAGGCAGCTATAGCTTAGGCTTGTAGGAAGTGTTAAGATATGGAGTGCTATGATATAGTGAGTGTATGTGAAGAAAGTACTAATGGCATGAAAGGGAAGGTGTAAGGATTATATAGTTATAAACATCAGTATCATATATACACAAATAGAAGTTACATAAAAAAGCCCTATTGATCATAAATTTAGGGGTGAAGTGAAATATTGGACTAAAGAAAGAGCAAACTTTGACAGAATATAGATATTACTCACTGTGTAATACTATGTACCATAAACATACGAGGTATGTTTCAGTGTAACACGGAACATCACAATTCATGTTGATTTTATGTTTATACGATGTCTATGATACTGCTAATGTCCGGTATTTGTAACCTAACCCGGTACGTTGTATATCTGTTATTTTGTGACATCGCTGAGACCTCAATAAAATGTTTATTCAATACCTAATCGGAACGTTTAAATAACATAAATCAAATGTTTCCTAAATGTTACTTAGACATCATATTTATTACAGAAAATACAGATGGTAATAAAACAAAAAAAAATAAAAATAAAAAAAATATTGATGTATGTACAAGTAGGTCTCGTAAGTGTCGTAGATATGGATCCGAACCATACCCTACCTAACCTAACAGATTTTGGGGAACTACGCCTAAACAGAGTACACTATCATTTCCTATGAAAAATGATATTAAAACGAATACATATTAAAGTTTTGAAATCATTTTTTCCAAAATGTATAAACAATGATTACACTATGACAGTATAACATATTATATATAATTAACATACTTCGAACACGCTATTCCTCACTCCCTTCAATTATTAATCATTTGTCTAATTTAAAAAATGAAAATTGAGTACCTATTAGATAAATTGTATTGACTTGCGTTCTTAAAAATTCTGTGGATAGTCTCCTCGAAGAACGGATGATGGTGATGAGAGTACTTGGCACCTCGGAAAGGATACTCTTGGTTAATGTATTACATTTTAAAGGAACGATAAATCATATCTACAATAAAACGATTATAAACGCAGCTTCAGTGTAATAAATGTTAAAAAACAATAAATGTTTGAAAAACAAAATCCAAAAAATGTTTACACTCAAAATTTTTTTTTCCATAATATTCGCACCATTTTCCTCTACTATGCACCAAGTTTCATAAAAATTGGCCCAACCATTAATTAGTATTATTATTACGAGGATTATGTAATACATGTGCAAACAAGTAATAAGTGCAATTTTTGAAAATAAAGTTAAAAAAATCTTATAAAATTAATTCGTTTTATTTATTTTGTAGACATTACATTTAGTGTTTACAGTAAAATACTTATAGTACTAATATTAGGTTAGGTATTTCATATGGAGTTATTATTCTGATTTTTGATTCTACTATATCTGGTGTTAGCGTGTCTTAACCATTCTGATACTATCTTTTCGAATTCTGAATCATTTATGCTTTTATTATTTTTACAAGTTTCTTGTACAAACTCTAAAATAATAAAACAATTTTACACAAAAAAATATTATTCAGTGTAAATTAAAAAAATAGGTAAGCCAAAATATCATAGAAATATAAATTAATGAACAAAACTTAGTTATGAAATATGGATTAAAAGAGAAAAATGTACATTTGTTGACATTTTATGCGGCTACCTATGCATTAAGTACTTGTAACATAAACAATGTTTATAATTCAATTTTAAATAGTATATGGTATTTTAAATTACTTTTAACTGTCATAATAAGTTTAGTTTCCAATTTTTGTTACAATATTTTTGCCTCGTTCAGTCCATGTACATTGAATTCCATATTTATCAGTAAATAACTTAGTCATGACTCTATGAACATGATTTTTAGGAGTATTTCCATCAATAATTTTGATATAATATTCCTACAATTGTAATTATATTGTAACAAATTTAAGTTATTCTAATTATAATATAAATATATAGGTTCCTACCAGTTTAGATTCTAAGCCGAATTCATTTAAAATGCTATTTTCAATTGATACAAATGAGTCAGCATCATTTATAGGGAATTTGGTCAGGAAAATGTTATCAAGTTATATTAATTGTAAATCATTGTTTATAGAATTGTTTTCAAGTTTAAATAATATACGGTTTAATAGTAATTTTATGCCTATTTGTTCTTGCAGGATGCTGTTTAATTTTTCTTCGACATAAGAAAAATTCCTATCATCTGCTATAAACATAGTTTTATGGAATAAATAAAATTAATAAAATTTTTAATATTGAAAATTTACACATAACTAATTAAATTTACCGTTAATATGTATAGATGAGTCATATTCATTAGACCAGCGTTTCCCAAACCATAGGTTGCGAAATTTTTTTCATGGGTCGACATTCGCGGTCCACAATTACGGTTTTTTTAGCCGTAAATTGATACCTCTATAATATAAAGTCTATATTATTTAATAATGTAAAGTCTATTTTGATTTTTTTTTTTTTTTTAATAAGGGTCGCGTACTCAAAAAATGATAAGTTTATGAGTCGCCATAGCAAAAAGTTTGGGAAACATTGCATTAAACATATGAGGAAAACAATAATTTGAATAAGTTAATTCCTATTTAAAAAAACATATTTATAATTCATTCATTTTCATGTTCTTAACAGTGTTTTTAATTTTATATTTTTTAAATTGACATACAATGGTTTCATAAAACGCACATTAATTCATTTTAATCATTAAATTTATAAATTATAAGTAATCTAGGTTATAAAATGGGTTAATTATAATATATATAACTAGAATCAAGAATGATATGCATTTGATATTTCTTTTTATTTACTTAAAAAATAGCTATATAAGACACAAATTTGAATCTGAGTTTAATGTGTCTTTATCCAAAATTTGATTTTGTATATTTTGAATATTTTTAATTAAAATAATACATATTTTAGTTATTTTCAAAAATATAATGCATATATTGAAGAAATATTAGTATTTAGTTAATATTATTTCCTAACTAAAGATATATTAACATAAAACATACTTCAAGTATGTTGACTTGAAGTGTCGACTTGTTGACCTTTCTGTTAATTCGCTAGACACAATTTATAATTGTTTATCAACATAACAAGATATCTTCGGATAACTCGTAAATAATCTATTTATTACATATTTAATAAATTGATTTTTGTTTATAATTTTTTTTAGATGAATTATTTTTAAACTTTAAATTTAAACTCATCAATAACAAAATGTACCAGTCAATAATAATTCAATTATTGCTACTCTTTTTAATAATTTTCAATTATATTACTATAGATTATTGAATCACTTGCTTATTTATAATTTAAATTTTTATATATTTTAATATTTACATTTATTATTATGTATTTTAATTTTTTATATATTTTTTGTGCATAAATACATATATATAATTCTCGGCCTTATATATAACCCATCATAAATATGATATAATTAATTTAATGTAAATTACCTCAAATCGATTGTTTTGGAGACACTCATTACTTTCATTTGGCATAATTTCAGTGTAGTGCATATCTTTGTCACTTATTTCTGCATAGAAATTATGAATGACAATTAAAGTAAAAGAGCCAACATTTACTTGTTCTAGAACCGGTAGAACATTCACAACTTTTTTAGCCTGAGTAAGTGGCATTATTTTAACTTTTAATCTATGGGTACAAAGTAATAATAAAATTGAAATCACCAAATATGTACCATACAGTATTTGATATGTACAAATCAATTAATAAATATTTAATAATAATAAAGCTTTACTCCTTAAAATTAAAAATTATTACCAGTATCATCAGGACTGATAATCAGAGGTCTTTTGTTAGATAAAAATTTTGTTCCATTAGAGGACGTTTTAATATTTCCCCCATCAGTATCAGTCGAGGAATACTTTTCTTTAATTTTTTTATGCCAAGTTTTATTGAAATCATCTATAAAAATAAAAATAATCAATGCATTTACCCTATCATATAATACCTATCTAATACTTATCTAAATATGATACCTATGGACAATATGGTAAAACTTGACATATACTTAAATCTCTGTAGGTATGTTACTTACCATATATTTTATTAACACCAACAATTTTTATCCGAAAAGTGTCCCATAATGGTCTTGGGTCCTCACCTTTTCTTAAATGATCACTATTTACTTTAAGGGGAGGCCATTTGCAAAATAGGGAATCACTATCATTGATTATCCAATTAGTAGGAATGACACTATATTAATTAATTTCTGGGAACCGTACAATATACCATGATATCTGAAGTAAAATATTAAATTTCATTTTAATAATAATATAAAATATAAGATATTATTTTGTTTAAATACGTTTAAATACGTTTAAACGTACAATTTGAATTATTTTATTTTTAACTGGGTACCTAGTCATAACTTACTTTAGTTCGACTTTCTTTATTTTCCGGCTTTCTGGCAGGACTTTTTTTATTCATGACAATGATATTCACTTGAGTTTAATATAATTATAATTTAATTGAAACTATAAAGTATAACGCAACGCTGAACGCGGTTAGCAAAGGCATAGTAATGAATATCACACACATTATAGTTTTGAACGTTATAGATATACGTCGATCTGGACGTCACGTGAGTTGCGGCAATTCGGTATTGTTGTTTTGTTGACGCGGATGGAAGATAATTATAGAATTATTGCTTATAGAATAGTACAATATTATTGTTATATCTATTATATATAATAATTATTATAAGTTTTCGTGAAATACTAAAACATCAATATCTTGTTCCTGGTACGTTTTAAATAGAAAAAAACCAATGTTGATGTAGATGACAAAAATAAAACAACCATGCGACATATTTTTCAATACACTACTAGTCTGTAATATAATATATGTCGCTGATATGAATCTTCAATGTATGTTTTATTAAAACAGAAAGAATCTATTGTGTGCACATTACATTGGAACGTTGATCGTATAACACAAAATGTATGTTTCTGGGAAATATTTAAATATTTAAAGTCGACTTTTTTGGGAGGTGGTCTGGAACATGGCATTTTTTTAACGTAGGTTTTTGTTGAGATTAAAACACGTACGTCTCACTAGCCCAACCAATATCGAAATTGATTATTCTGTGGTATGTAACCTTTAGTATGTCATTTGTATGTACGAGGGTTATTCAGAAAGTGAAGAACATTTTGTACTAAAACAAAAACTAGGTACAGGAAAAATTTTTTATTATATACATCTGAAAGATTGATTAAAATGCTACTTTTTTACATAGTTACCAAACAAATTAAGGCACTTATCATAGCGGTGGACAAGCTTCAAAATTCCTTCGTTATAGAAATCCGCCGCCTGCGATCTCAGCCCCTCAGTGACGACGACGAACTCTGGGCGTGCGTCACTGAGAGGCCGAGTTCGCAGGCGGCTTCTCGCCACCCCGCCCCTTCTGTTTTTGATATAACTCGAATTCAATTGGTATAAAAATGGCGGGAATGGTCATACAAATACATACAAATGACATACTAAAGGTTACATATTAGAGAATAATCAATTTCGATATGGGGTGGGCTGGTGAGACGAACGTGAATAAAACTTTATTAAAATTTTATTATGACATGATAATTTTGGTTTCGAATTTTTCATTGGCTTTACGGAAATCTTCCAATATAATTTGTGCTATTGTTTTAATTTCTGTATCAACAGCGGATGTCAGTTTCACTAACGAAGATAATCGAACCTGTAACGCGATATAACGCATATTATTATGACATAACTTTTTTACAGAATTAACTACATTTGATATTGTCAATTTTATTTCAAACTACTTATTGGGTTTTATTTAAATAAAATTGAATCGTGAATTTCGAAAAGTGCTCATCTCAAGTTTTTATCAAAATAGACTTTGCTGCATTTTTTTCATCTATTTTTTTCATAGATCGATATTTTATAAGCGAGAAGGGCTCGTATATCTTTTTTATTATGATGAATTAATCAATTAATCTATGTTAATTGTTTAATAAAGAAAATAATTGAAAAGAAAATCAGCTTTTATAGTTTCCCGATAATTTAAAATTTTCAGATATGAACCCTTTTCGAATTTCATGATTCAATTATTTTATAGTATTGTGGAGATATAATTTTTAATTATTTTTATTTATTTAAATAATTTACTATCTATAGTATAGATTCTATACAACAGTTAGTACAATAAGTCAATTTATAATTAATAAATGGTTAGTGTCAGGAGATTAACATTTATGGGCAGGCACTCAGCAGTACCACCCGGCCGAGTACATTTTAAGTATTATATATATATATATTTTTTTTTTTAGTAGTAGATATCTAGGCCAGTGGTTCTCAAACTGTGTTACGTGTACCCCTTAGGTAACGTAATGAAGTTTTTAAATTTTTTTATATTTAATTTAGTTTTTAACTAAGAAGGGTACCCAAAAAAGTTTATTGATAAAAAGGGGTACATTGTTTATAAAAGTTTGAGGGTCCTTGATCTAGGCCATTTTCTTTTGAGTCTTCTACTTACATTACCAGGAAGTAAAGTGGAAGATAGTTATTTTATTAATGGGTTACTATGAGAGTTAAGTCTATGTGAAATTTGAAGTAATATAATTCGGCTAATTGAGTGTAGGAATTTTTAAGTCTTTGTGAAGATTATTGTTTGGGAAGTACCAGGGAGAAGACGTTATTACTCGTAGGCAGATGGATTGAAACGCTTAAAGCGTTTTAGTATTTGATGGCCATGCAGTTCCCCATAACTGGATACTGTATGTTTAAACTGGTCGAATTATTTTTTTATACATGATCATTTTATTGGACAGGGAATGTTTGGATTTTAAAAGTGGTCTAATGATATGAAGTCTAGAGATAACAGCTTTGCGTTTAATTTTTATGTGTGGACTCCAGGTTAAGCGTTTGTCTAGAATTAGACCAAGATATTTAACTTCGTTTGCCTTTGGAATTGTTACATTGTTTAACGAAACAGGTAGAGAATTGAGATTTCGTAGTGAGAAAGTTACTTGAACATATTTTGTTTCGTTTATTTTGATTTTCCACTAGTTTTCCCACAAGCTGATCATATTTAAATGGTTATGGATAATTTTACTGGCTGTGACGTGGTTTTCGTGGGAGGTGATTATTAGAGTGTGATCAGTGTATGTGTTGAAAGATATATAGAAGGTATTGGGTATGTTATGCGTGAAAATCGAATAAAGAAATGGCGCGATGTCGCTTCCTTGTGGGACCTTGCAGGGGGTCGCGAACACCTTGACATGGGGTCGCGTATCTCAAAAATGATAAAACGCTGTTTTACAAAATGTAAATTCAAATCAAATTTTTACCTAATATAGATGGAGGGGGGAGGTCGCAAAGTGATTGACCATATTTTATACCTATTTTTTGGGGTCACGATACTAAAAAGGTTGAGAAACGATGCTGTACAGAATTATTTTTTCTCCAGGGAGCTGGAATGAAATCAACTGTTCTATGTAATTGATGCATTGTCGAGTGTTTTGGTCTGAATCTAAATTAAGTGTGGGATATTATGTTTTTTGAGGAAGCGAGAGAAATGAGTATTTTTAAAAAGCTTTTCTCAAAAATTTTAGAAAAGGTTGGTAGAAGACTTATAAGTCTGTATAAGACAGGATATTGTGGCTGTTTGTAGAGTTTAATGATTAAAATAATGACCGAGTTTCTAAGTGCTTGAAAATTATGATTATCTGAAAATGGCTTTGAATATATGTGATAAAAAAATAATGATTTTGTTACGTAGGTTCTTTGCAATAACATTACTAATTAGATCATGACCTGGTGATTTTTTAATTGTGAGCCGTTTGACAATGTATTCAATTTATCCAGGAGAGGTGTTTTTAGTGGGAATTGATATGAGAAGGGATGGATTGAGAGAGCTATTCCCTATTTCTAGTTGTGATCAGGGACGGCTCCAGAGGCCTTGGTTAAGGGGGGGGGGAGGAGTTATAATTTTACAAAATCTTATAACAAAAAGAAAACAATAATTCTTACAACACAAATTCAAGTCGTCTATTTTTAAAATTGGCAAAAATATCAATAAAATGATCTATTTGATCTAAAATATCTACTTTATGATAAACATTAATTAGAAATAATACTGATAGTCTATCTTCAGTCATCGTTGAACAAAGCCAGGTTTTTAGTCTCCGAAGTGTGGAGAAACTCCTTTCGACCGTCATATCTCTATGGCTCTATCTAAATACTTGTGCGTGTCGTATGATAATACATATTATAATATGCATTTTTTGTTAACAATATAATTTTTTTTTTAAATACGGTACGGGCTTGGGAGGGGGCCGTGGCCCCTAGAGCACCCCCCAGAACTGCCCCTTGTTGTGATACACTAAGCAGTATATCATAAGGAAATATAATTAAAATATATATAAATAAATAAATAAAACAACAATACAAAAAAACATTAAAACCCATAAATCAAAATCTAATAATATGATTAATATAAAACCAATTTAAAATTTTCTATACTATTTTATAATAGCTATAATAGTTTAAATAGTAGTATTAGTATAAATATAGTAATATAATATTATAAAAAATATGCTTACATTATTTTTCATTATATTGTATGTTGTTTTTGTGCAAACATTTCGAAGAAGCGAATGCAGTAGTTTTAGTGCGAAACATCTTTGATCGGGTCCAGTCATCGTATTGTTTCTATCTTCAATGTCATCATTTAGAGCTTTGACCAATCCAGCATCTATCATAAATCCTGAAGATCCATTCGAAAAAATGCTTACGTTGTACAATGCGACATACGATATTCTAAAAATAAAGGTAATAAAAATTATAAATTATTATTATTTTAAATATTATATATATTATATTATATTTTATATTATATTATATTATATTATATTATATATATTATATTATATTATATTATATTATATTATATTATATTATATTATATATATTATATTATTAAATTATTCTTATAAATTATTGTTTTATGTAATAAAAATGAATAACATTAAGACAGTACTATTAACAGTTGTATAACGCATTTTATTTTAATTTAGATGAATTCATTCTTTTAATAATTACTTCTATAGAAATTATATATTGCAGACAATTTATCAAACTATGAATTAATTAATTTTGTAAAAATATTAAACCAAACATTTTCGAAATTAAACTAGTAAAATAATAAGCTGTTTTTTTAGTAATTTTGAAACTTTAATTTTATAAATATTTTACTAGAGCTTATATTGAGATCTGCGACAAATCAGCTGGAACAAGGATATACATTTTAAAAATAACTTTATTCATTACTTTATATAGTATTATTATAGTATGTTATAAATGTTATAGTTGTTAAGATAAAAGTCTTCAAAGAAATTAAAAATTGATCCTAAAATACTTAATTACAATCAAGTTGCATTTTTGATTTAATTATTTCATTTGGAAGGAGAGAAGCTTTTATAGTTAGTTGGCACTTGCTTAAGAAATACTTTTTCATGTTACTATTGCTATAAAACACGGAGTTAAACGATATTAGGGCCACAATAATTGAATTCATTTAAATATATGTTTACTTTTTCCACTGATTCCCTGATGAAGATGAAGTGTGAGTCACTATAGTCATTATGAGCTTAATCACATTTTTTCCAATATTATTTTGTGAAAAAAACTGCCGACCCCTGTCTTCTGTGCTCAAATTGGCCACCAATCCAATAATGCTTAATATAAACATTGTTTCTTCGGTATCCGTAGTGGGTATTTTTGATTGATAAGTATCAATGAACGATGTGAGTACGTTTACCATAATCTCGGAAAGTTTAGTTAGTTTGTCCTGCAAAAGAATATGAAATAGTTATTATTAAGAACCGAATTTATATGCATTTTAAATTGTAAGATATGCATGCAATCTAAAATGCACTAAAAAAAATTTGATATAACCAAGAAAAAAATTAAAAACATGCAAAATTAAATTTAAATTAAATTAAATTGAATATTTAATTTTATTTTTGAAGTGATAATTATTTATTAATTTTATTAAAATTTGGAATTTTGGGAATTTTAACGGCATAAAAATTAATTGGTAAATTACAAAATAATTTTCTTCGAAAAAACACTCAGTACATTAACTTGGCCACAACGTAATTCTTGTTAACATTTGTCTTGTATAAATGTAGTAGTGGTTTTAATAATGTACCTAGATATATTGTTTAGGGTATTTCACGTCTCTAGTATAAAATGCGTATAACATTTACAAAGTTTAATAATACATTTTTAGTGATGAATATTCTTTGAGACGTAAAATATTTGATATGTAAATATACGTATACCTAATCAGTTTTTTTTTTTTTTTTAATTCTACAACACATTTTAAGATTTTTAGGTATGTATTTGTAAACTTTTTTTGCTAAAATATGCAAAGATATGCTAAACATGCACTAACATTAAAAATATGTGACATAAAATTTTGATATTTAATCAATCAAGTAATGATTTGTGGACACTCATTGACTGCGTATATATGATGTTGAAAATAGTAACAAGCATTTTATGCAAAATTTGGTCTTAAATAATTATATTGAAAGACTACAAATAAAAACAATAAAATTTTATTTAAACTGACCTTGTACGTATATAGATATTAATGCATCGAGTACGATGCATATTAATTGGTTCGAGTACGTAACAAGTAAATAGTTATTATAATTGATTAAGAATAAAATTGTTACGAATTTAATCTGAATGTTTTCCTATTTATTAAAAATTTGCAAAAAACACCCTTTTAAAAATTATATATTTAAGATATGTGCGAAAACTGTATAATGAATCTAAAAATATGCTAATTCAAATGTATTTTCCAACAACTCAATAAATGAAAGAAGTAAATGAATGTGATTCTAAGAGGTGTTTTATATCACTGTTATTCTTCTTCTTGATATACATTTCTGATGAACGGCGTGAAAAATATTTTTAAAGACTGTCGATCTCTCATTAATACAGACGCTGAATAATCGCAATACGAAGAGTGGTGAATCATGAAGAATTAACGTAGATTAATCGTAGATGAACCGCGACAATCGTGGCTTGTAATGGGTGACCTTTTGGGTGTTTTAAAAAGTTGAGTTCTTACATCTCTTATTGCGACTCTTACAAACTGTAACTAACTGAATCAGATAGAATTTAGGCTAACAGTCTATACTTTAAATAATCGGTGTGACGTCATGCGAGCCACGCAAGGTATATATTTGCATATTTAAAAACCCGTATTTTACTATCCGGCCCGTTACCTTGCATTTATGGTCCGCATATATTTTATTTTAACCAATTTAGATATTTTTCAACGATAATACAACTATAAAACTACATGACCTGCACTGAATTTTACACAATAAAAACCAATTAATTGAATACATTTTTTAAAAAAGAAGTATAAGTTAACTAGGTATTCTAATTATTATGAAATATAAATTGTTTTACAGAGAACGTATTAAATCTGAATAAGTGTGAATATAATTTTAACATTTCTAGATAGTTAACAAAATTATTCATTGGGTAATACAAATTAGTATATATGTTGATAATGATGGTAGTTTTGTACTCTGCAATTATACTACAATACTATAACAATTTTAAACACCAGAGTAAAAAAACAAATTACAAGGAGCAAACTTTTAAGAATAATCTTATCGTTGTATACTTATTCTATGAAATAAATATATAATCATAAACGTATTATATACGTATAAATGAAATTGGAAAATTAGAAGAATTTAATATTTTCATAAAATGTTCAATTTTCAACTTAAAAGTGACCAGTTTTTAATTTGCGACTAATAACGCAAAAAATTTTTAAATTTTATCTTAATCGACTCGTTAAGTCATTAAACAATATAAACACTATAATACATTTTAAAATATCCACTAAATATTATGTATTAATACACAAAATATAAGAGTTTTATTTCCTCAAAATCAGAAACTAAATTATCTTAATCAAGTTAAAATACATAAAAACAATTTAAAACTGTGGTTATATATAGGAATACATGGATATGACAATGGTGAATTGTTTTTATAATATAAACAAATGATACATTAATTTTAAATATATTATATTTAAAATTAATGTATCATTTGTTTCGAAAAACAACTATGGGCGAAGGAAGACTATCCGATCGGTCTCTATGGCTATGAGAGTACATCACAATATAACTAGAGACACCAAATGATTATAACCTTTGAACCTTAATTTAATTAATTAAATGTAAATGGCGAGAAATTATATTTACAATGTCATAATATGAATTTCGTGTTAATAGTATAAGTATACGATAAGCAATCTAGTCTCAAGTCTGTAAGGTTAATATTATTACAATAGAATAACTAATATCATTTAATCGAAATAGTCCAGACGATATTTATATTTAGTATAATAACAGGGTAATGCCAATATCTTTTATAGTAGTTACCACCGTAATACGCATTATTTGATACTAAAATTAAGTGGAATACTGATAATTGGTTGCTATAATACTGTATTTACATTTTACGAGGTAATGAGATCATATACACTGAATAGAGCAATAGCCTATATCATGAGTGGTCACAATTTTGAACTGTAACAGTTGGCAGTTTTGGAACCAGACTCTATTCTAATATTCCAAGTCGCCAAAAATAACAGGGATCGAGAGGAAGCGACTGTTGTCGCGGCAATTTTAAACAATAAACGTACGTACAAAGGAGTGCTATTTGGGACAGTTAATATACTTTATGATTCAATTTTATTTCATGTAAAATATAATCCAAGTTACCTTAATTAAACATAAAACGTGAAAAAGTTTGTTAAATTTAAATGGTTTGTTCATTTGTTGCCAAATATCAAGAGTATGCATTGCAAGTTTGAATTTCAGTAATTTTTTTTTTTTAATTTTATTTGTTAAGTTTAATCACTTCTCGTAGAATTATGTTGACGATATCCGGGACTTGAGTAATTTTCCACAAATAATGACCCAAGGTAGCTCCTACTTTTGTCAAAAATGCAGCTTGAATTTTTAGCTGTGACTGAAGTTTCGTGGTCTTCATCTGTAGTCGACCGATGACTTCTTGCTGACATCGCCACTCATTTTGTAATATTGAGTATTTAGATTTTAATTCTTCGTACTCAATATCTAAAATCATCAAGCTAAATTAATTATAATTTACATCAATGATTTTAAATCAATAATCAAAGGATATACGAATTAAGATCATCAGTTTTATAAATTTTAATTTTGTATAATTATTTATTTTATAACACAATGACTAATTTAAGGTCACAGGCTGTATACGAATTTTTATAAGATACCGAATCATTATTCAAAATAAAACCAAATAAATTATAAATTCACGTATTTTTCAGGAAATTACCGTGTAAAATGTGCAGAAAAAATCTACGATAAGCTATAGAAAGGTTTAATAAATTACTCTCTTGGTCAGTATTTATAAAACGTGACTGACATTGATTGTCACCCGTATATAAATTGTACAACCTAATAACCAGGCAGCACATTACTTTGACTATGATCTTCACAAATAATTTTATAATTAATTTGGTAATCTGTTCCATCAATTAAGCCCACATAAAGGCATCTTGAAAACCCCAAATGAAATAAGAAAAATCTCAGTTAAAGGAAATAACATTTTTTAAATCTATCTATACAGTTTTTAATGAGTGATCTTTCATATACAATGAAAAATCTGAGACCCTCTAAAAAAACGTGACCCAGAATTCTTTTTATACTACTTAGTTATAGGTTACATTATTGTTGGTAGGCTTGAAGTAAGATTCATTTCTATTAATCCGTACAGGAGTCCGTCTGGATTTTAGAAAAATATTATCTTAATGATTTTATATGTGACAACTCATTTGTCTAAACCGGACATCCGTGCCGGATGTGGGATGAAAAAATATTGTTCTTGACAATCATCCCTCTGGGTTCCCGGACGAGTTTCCACTAATCTACATTTGTCATGATCATTGTGAGTTATGAAATAGACCGTATCCGGGTGATTGACATTCATTCATTATAAGCATAATCGAAAGTTCACAACTTTTTTTTATTTTTTTTTTTTATTTTAAAAAATGATTCTGAAAAACTTATTGAGTTAAAACGGAGTCTAGATGAATTTCAATACCAGTTTCGGATTAACTCGGTGTGTCATTTCAGGTTACAAATTCGGGCCCAGACCTGTAGGGTTGAAACTTAATCTACCAAAAATAGTGTGATGAACCTCTTAACCAAGTAGTCGATTTAAAATCGAATATCAAAAATGTTTAGTGTTTACTTACCAATATTTCTTTTATTTTGTCCCATGATTTGATGTTTAATTTTGAAATTTGTTTTAAAATATTATAAAACTTAAGTTACACTTGTGTTTATATTAAAGTAACTCAGATGTTATTATTTTATTGATAAACACTATAAAATATTTACCTGGCAACGATTTTTTTTTTTTTAAAAAATAATTTTTACTACTGTATTTAATAATAATGACATACAGTACCATTATTATGTATACATTCATATGAAAAAGAGTGGTAAGTGGTAAGTTGGATAGATAAACTAAGATGAAAACGTCATAATTATAGTAAAGACTGAAAGTATTGTAACAACCGTTGTGAATTGTAAAAACCGATTGACTGAATAAAGAAATGTTTATAGATGCACATCTATTGAATCGCTCAATTGCATTATTAATACGTAATTGTCTAACAATATATTTGTGTGGAACCGGAACATACTAATTATTTATTTATTTTTTCCGGTAGAAACTCTATATGAATTTAAACACAAAAATGGTTCCATTGAAACATGTAAAATTAGCATACCGATTAATATACAGGATGTTTTCGTGACAAAAAGTGTACTTTAGATGGAAAACAATTTTCCAATATTTAAATTCGGTGAATACGAATATACAACATTTTATACGCATAACTCGTTCACGAAAAAGTCTTATAATTTCGTTTACGGGTTACTGTGGACTGTTAAGGGTACTACATTATTTCATTGTTCTCTGTTCTATGATTTTCTCTCATCATATTATCTTTTTATTATTAAAATATAGGTAAGTATTGTATGTTTAATTATTACATCGTGAACAATAAAGTGTAAAAACAATTTACATATTTTTCAATTTTCATAGAATACAAGTTGAAATATTTACGACAGTAACATTACAAAATTAAATTATAAAAATTAAAATTATGCGCTGAGGTAATTTAATAATACTTGAGAGTGTCATTATTATTAATTTCTATTCTTTGACAATCCATACTAATATATTCGAGAGTTAATTTTAAAACTCTATACTACGTGGTATTAAAACCAATAGCTTTGTTATTGTATTCCACGAAAATGAGTATCTCTATATACTTTGAAATTTCCACTTTATTTTATTTACATTGTAATGAAAAATACTGATCATAATACTCAGAAGTATTTCTATTCAGCTTAAGTTATTCATGTTTTCTGTGCTGTTATTTTGATTGAGTAATTCCTTAATACACGGAGGTCATTGTTATCATTTATAGCATATATATTGATAACCACATTATTCGACCAGAAACAATACTAATTACTAAAACAACGAGAGTAGGTATATCGGATGATCCATGTTCGATGTACATTGCTCACTCTTTTTCTATATAAACTTAAATATATTTATATTAAACTTAAAAGAAGACAACTGAACTATTTGAAATGTCATTATCATAAACAGAATAATATTCTGAACATTTAATTTATGAATTTAGCTAAGAACTATAAAACTAATTATTTGTGTTTACATGGGGTTTATTTGTATAACCAACTATTTAGTAAAAAATTATTATGAAGTATATCATATATATTAATACGAGTATATTATCGTTCATATGTTCACTAAAATTATATATTTTGTTGTGAATCATTTCTCTACTTATGAACGGTAAAAATGTGTATAACATAACTATAACTATATACTTAATATTCGATTTTTATGTAAAAATATTTCCAAGAAAATATTTTTCTCAAAAGAATTTAATTCAAAATAGTTGTTGTTATAATAAATCAATAAAGCCCAAAAAGTCATATTCTACTATTTGATGATTATTAAAACGTTATAGTTCATATGTTTATATGGTATAAACGTATATTACGTAAGTGATTAAAAATAAAATATAAGAATATTTTTGTTATTATTATAAAGTATTTTAAACTAAAAAAATAATGATCATAAGAACATTAAATATTATACTTGTAAATGAGGTAGTGCGTTTATCGATTCACCCGATATAAACGTATACATACAAATTCCTTTCCCTTTACATGGATATCTATCAACATCATATGAAAGGTCAAACACGCAGTAACTAGCAATTGATCAAGTTCTACCTGTTACGTAGCAGTACTTCTGTTTTGATCATTATTTGTTTTCGTTTCGAACAAGCAGTTAGTATTTATCTTACAGAGTTTGAGTAGTGCGAAAAAATCATAAATCAATTTGCAGTGAATTTGAGGTAAAATTTATTATAGTATTTCAATCCTGTTAAATGTTAAATTAAATTAGATAAGATTATTTATTCACTACTTTATCATTTATTTGTATGTTCTAATTTTTAAAAAAATACAATTTTTTAAAACTTATTGAAATATTTTTAAGTATACATCGCATCAGGATCAATGAAATATTATATGTTTTTTATCAAATAAATTCATATATAATATTGAAATTAGTTTGCTAAAATCATAGTATTTTGTGGTCAGATATTTAGATGTATTGATTTTTTCTAAATGTAAGTAATTAAATTAATTTAACACTAACCTCCATTGACTCATAAAAGATTATATATACACTCAACATTTTCAGATTTTCTCTTAAATTTAATTTTAGCATGTATTAGTGATTATATATTTTTATAGATTTGATTTTAAAGAAAGCCAATATTTTTAAAATATGTGCTAAAAATATGAAGTTATGTATCATAGTTTTAAGTACAAAAAGAAAAAAAAACATTCTAATAAAATGTATATCCATGTAATAGAACTACATTGTAGATAATAAAAACTTCTAACTCAAACTACGTAATTCAAGAATGTCTATGTAAAAAATTGTTTTTCGCATCTACAATAAATGTAGAAAATCGGTTTTTATTAAACTATGTTCACCATTTTTTTTATGATATGAATTTTATAAACGAGATCAAAAATATTTTATTAAATAATTATATAATATTATTAATGTATGATATTAAAATACATCAAAATATGCAAGCAAAAATATCATAATATGAAATAGCTCCTTTACACTTCAGAGTTTAAAAAAGTGTTAAACCAATTGTAAAAAACAATATTTGCGTACAGCATTTATTTTTTACATATTAAAATTATATTACTCACAAATTATTGAATTATTTATATGTTTATCTATTGATATTTTCAAATAAAATATCTTATTTTTATACGCATATACCATAATAAAATAAACAATATTTCGTTATTTTAAATTATTTACAACATATAATTTTTATGCATAAAGTTGATAAGAATAATTGCCAATTGTTTGGCACTTTTATGAATAATATGGTTTATGTGCACAAAGTTATGTTTAATAATCTTAATAAGGCTGTAAATGTTATCTGTACTTATCTTAATAGTCAATATAATATTTATATCAAATTTCACTTATCGAATATTTGAATGCTTTTATTATAAAAACATTTTATCGAGAAATCTGTAAAAACTTTAATCTTTAGTGATACATTAGATTAAAATATTATTGATTTAATGTTGAAAATTTAATTTAATTATAAATTATAAACATTAACTGACAATTTTTAAATGATTTTGGATTAACGCATCAATTGTTATCATTACTTATAAATTATAAGTATATCTGAAATTTATAATAAAATGTACTTATTTTAGAGTATGACAATTAGAATACAATTATCGAACATTATATCACTTTAAGTGCTGACGTATACACATCGTCGACCAATCGTATTTGTAATAGACGGCGAACGTCAACTATGCATTGACACCCTATACATTATTTTCTTTTCGGTCTCAATAATACCAGCCAATTTATACATACAAGATATACTAAATATTATGATTATTTAATACCAATTTGTTATAATTACATTTTGAATTAATTTATAATGTTGCGATTATAATATTTATTTTCTATAGTATTTGTAAATAATAGTCTACTAAATATATCAATAATTGTATTACGATTTTTTTTTTTTTTTTTGGCTTTTTCGAATGAATTTCAGTACTTTTCAATGCTACAAAATTTGAAGCCTGGTAATAACCAATAAACGTGAACAAAAGCGTTGGATCAGTAGAATATTATTCAAAATAAAATGTAAAGCAAACTAGTATCAAATACCTAAGCGGTTAAAATGTAATAATTATAAATATTTACTACCTACTTATAATGATTATTAAAAGTCTTGAAGTCCAAGATCATTGATAAAAATAACAGAACATGCATATAATTAAAATATATTTCTAGATCCTAAAACATGAAAAATAAAATACACAAATGTAACATGGTAAATAATTGTTTTGTACACATAGAACACATTTGGCAGAATGATAAAACTTTCTTATATTTATCTAATGTACTAAAATATTTTTTTAGAGAAAAATAAATTTATAATTTTTGGCCTCTAAACCATTAAGTTGTAAAAATATCGTTAAATTTGGACTTTTTCAATATAAAATATTTTTTACATTTTAAATACTTAATACTACACAACATATTAAAACGTGTTTTGGATCTAAAAATACGTTTGAAACATTATAATATATTAATATAATAGTTAAAATAATAAATATTATATATACTAAGTACGAGTACTAAACATATTGTGTTTGACACAATAAAGCTTCTAAACTTCATGCATAGTATATATAATTACGCACATAAATTTAAATAACACAACGGCAACTCTCTTAAAAGGATCTGTGCGTTCGTTCTACTCTTAAATACGTACATCCAAATGGAAGTATACGTGCATTACAGTAAAATATTATATTTTCCTCTGATTAAACTACGTTGAACATTTAGATGAACATTTTTTTTTTATTTAAATGTTGACAAGCCCATGATCCAGAGATAGGATGAATACTATTTAAATTATCATTAATTTCTTATTCAGCGTATTTGCCATATCAAAATCCGAAGTTCCGTGCATAATTTTTGTATGAACTCAGAAAACATTCAATGCCTAACATGTTCAAGGTCTCTTCCGGCATAATGTGATGATGTGATAATGACTGATGACGATTATAAATGTTATTAATTACTGGTTGTTGCATACTGTTTGAACAAAGTCGATTTTGATAAAATTTATCTCGATATTTATTTACATGCATCCTCGTATATACTTGTTTCGTGCTAAAAACAAAAATAAACAAACATTATAATGTTTTCAACACAAATATTTTATCAAAAATGTTTATTTTTTAATTTTATTTAATATCATTTTCATTATTAATGACATTTTACAAGTATATAAATTACATAGTTATTTACAAATTTAGTAAAATATAATTTTGTAAAAAAAGATAAACGCAATTTCATTGTTATAAGTATTGTGAGTGTTTGGAATAAAAGCATTCGAATGAATTTTAAAAAATGTCTTCTTACCTAATCGTTAATCTCCCTCAAGTTCACATTACGCAATTCATCTATGTGTTTTAAGGAACAATTAGTTAGTACAACACTTTCATTAATAAAGTTTTCTCAGCGAATATAATATTTATCTTCATTAGTAGATACGATATACTTTTTATTATTACAACGATAATATATTTTTATAAATGAAAATCAATATCTTAAAAAATTTGTCAGTTGTATTAACTTACATTGACGTGGATGCGTTAAATTTGCGTTTTCTCGCAGAGACAAGCTTTTGTTTTATCTTTTATACCAAATATACATTCTTATATGTGATTACAAGGCAAGGTTTATTATATATATTATATATATTTGGATTATTTCATTGTTCGTCAAACCTGTGAATTATATTTAAAATATCACTTTGGTAGGTTTTAAATACCGATATACAGTTCCGGGTTAAGGGAGGGGGAAGGGCAAAGGGGCAGCTGCCCCGGTGGCAAAATTTTATGGGCGGACATTTTTTGACGGCGTTAACAAAAGTTTTGAAATTTTTTAATGTATATACTAGTTTTTAGGAAAAATTATTAATTTATTATTGAAAAATATTAATAATAATTGTATAATATTATAATAGTTATTTTATATTATATTAAATCGCTGAGTTATTTCGTCTGTGGGCGTTAGCATATTAAAGGTAAAACCATATTATTATTTAGCACTCGAACCTATGCATTTTTATTTTCGTTACACTGACAAAATTGTGTTTATTGTGTTTATTATATATCTCTATATGTGTATTATAATTTATAACTATCAGATTATTAAATTTGATATTAATAGTTTCAATTAATTTATTTACGCACTACCAATCAATTATTTTTGTTATAAATCTCTCTCTCTCATGAGTCTCGTGATCATAGTTGTCGTTGTTGAATTCGATTCACGAATCATGATTAACTGAAAAACAAACGTGCCTAATATTTTATTTTCAATCAATATGAGTGGAAAGTGTATACAAATGCATATATTGAAATAAATGAGTTCTATGGGTTTTTTTTAATGTGGAAGGAATTGATGATGATATTTTACAAGAAAAATCAAAACAATTAGTAAATATTTATAGTGTTTATAACTGGAATTTGAAAATGAGATTAGTAAATTTAAAACAATAATGAAGTATTTTTCAGAAGATGAAAATTTATCTATGCTCAGTTTTCTTAAAATATTAACAGTATCAAAGTTAAACGATTCATTTCCTATTGTGGAAATAACTTTAAAACTTTTTATATTTATACCATGTTCAAATACTAGCGAAGAAAGATCCTTCTCAGTTTTAAAAAGAGTCAATAACTACCAGAAAACATAATTATCTAATGAAAATATGTCAAAGTTGTCTCTAATATCTATTATAAATATTTTCCTAAAAAGTATAAATTGGAATGATATTATTAAAGAGTTTGCTTCACAGAAAGCTAAAAAATAGTTGTAAATGTTTTATAATGAATAAATTTGTATTAAATTTTTTATATTTGGTACCTACTAAGGTCTATAAATTTAAAAACTACTGGTGTTACAATATGTTTATAAATATAAATTAATTAAACAATCTTAACTTTGTTGTTACTTGTTATATACATATATATTTTTTTATTTTTTTTGGCTTATGGAGGGGATTAAAGGGCGAAATTTTAAAATCTGCCCCCATGCGGTAAATTCGTTAATCCGACACTGCCGATATATCATTAAAAATTATTACCAGGTGTGTGTTAAAAAACGACAAACGTAATGTGAGTGTTAATAACTTCCTTTTAATTTTTTTGGGTCAAAACACTTAGTAATTTTGAATAATTTACAATTATTGGTGTACGGTTTGAATGTAGAAGAAATTATAACTAGTTTTATACAATGTAAATTATTCTAATGGAAGACGAAAAGTTTATTCCTGAATTTTTGAAGTCTAGATTCTTAAATGTTCAATAAAAAATAATTGAGTAGTTTTTTTTTTTGTTATGTAAAAAAAAAAAAAACTTTTTTGATGAATTTAAGGGAACACCGGTCACCTTTGCCCTTCCCTTGAATTCATGCGTGACACCGAGTGTATATAATCAAAAAATCTATCGGTATATTTCCAATTTTGTTTTTCATCAGAAATAATATTTTTACAATCGCGTGTCCAACAGTAAATAGAATAGATTATTTTAGGTAATGGAACTTTAGAACCGGAAAATAATGACTTATAAATGCCGATACTCACAGTTAATTTTTTTGCAGCACAGTCATCGCTCACAATTTTCCAAATGTAACGTCATGTCATAACTACTTTGACACTCATCGACGATTACGAACGATCACATATCATTTGATAAAATAGCTCACTATATGAGACGCCATTAATAACCGTCGGTGTACAGTCCCTATGATTTATTATTATTTATTTGTTACAGCCTGTTATACGTGGTCTAACCCTTGTGATATTACCAATAAATAAATATTAATATGTCTTTGTAAAGTTTATTAACCGAACACGTGTTATAAATAAAATGTATTATTTTAACGGTCACTTAAACACCCCGATGTCAGAGTATATATACTATATATTACATACCTATCACGCTTAGTATTCGTATACTATAAACGTTTTCATTTGAATTAAATTAGTATACACTATTTTGTATACGTATATGCTCTGCATATGTTTGATTTTGAGGTTACTACACGAATTATTAACGTGCGTTAGCCTTGAATCGAATGTACGAAATGGCAGAACGTTTTGCTTTTCTGCAATGATGTTCGTTATAACACACATAGTAATAATTCCGACTTATATCGGCTGAGGACTGCAAATATCCTCGTTAAGATCGTGAATGATGATTTTAATCCCGGCCGATGCAGTTAAAAATAATTATTCCGTGGAGTTGGTCATTTTGTCGTAATTTGTTTCGTTTTAGACGAACGGAACGCGTCACGATGGCGTTGGCCGCGAATCGCAATACCATGACTCCATTACTAGCGCTCCTACAATTGATACTGTGCATTACTTTCTCGTCATCCGAAGCCGCGTCGACGGGTTCGTCGAGTTCAAAAAGTACCGCTGTTCTCCGAACGTCAGTTATGCATCCCGCGTTTGAATCTGCCGGCAAATCGGCTGGACTTAAGATTTGGAGGATCGAGGTAATACCATTAATACATTATTATATTTGATTTTTTTTTTTTTAATGTTTACGATGATAATTTAGTTAGTTTTTATTTGTTTTTATTATTTTATCATTATTATTGTTCCGCTTTCTCTTTTCATATAGCATCACATAATAAGACAACATGTAACACTATTGCAATTGCGTCGAACGAACGTGTCTATTGTTATATTGTATTTTTTAAATACTGCAAAAAATCCTAATTTTGATTAGGTTATTTTGTAAAAGTTCAAAATTGTTTGAAAAAATGTTCGTACAAAAGATTTTTTTGTACAAGAGTACAAGTAATGTTTCGTCGTCATTAGATTCACGTGGCTGCTTTGAAAATAGTATATACTCAACACATATAGTTATAAAATTTAAACTACTTAGCGCGCGATTATCGGCGATTTTTTATTTCGTTCATATTTCTAATTTTTATTTTTATGATTCAATACGTATTCTCTCACAAATCACTATATGCATTGTACTAAATAGTAAGCTGCGTCTATTTGGAAACTTATGTAGTTAGCAGTCCATTTTTTATAATTTTTTTATATATATAATTATTAGACAGGTATAGAATACTGAATAATTTATAAAAAAAACTATTTACAAGTAAATAACTAAGATTTTTCTAAATTACTTTTAATTTACTAGTATACTGATTAATAATATACCTCGTTTAACACAATGATTGCATTTGAGTAATAAGATATACTAATTATAAAATGAAGTACCTAAGTCATTTTTTCAAAAATGATAATACTCTGTAACTCTAATTAACAAAAAAAAAAAAAAATAATGAATCCTCCTTGCTCAATACTCATGGTATAATATGTGTTATATTTGTATCTGATCTATATTTAAATAAATACATTTTAAATTATGATGAATATAATAATAATATTTAATACATAGTTTAATACTCATAATATCGAATATTTCAATATTTTCAAAAACCAACTTCCGTTTAAAATTTTTCTGTCTTTAAAAGTGTAGAACAGTAACAATATACAAAAATAATACAGATATTTACGTTTCTATTCTATGAATGTTCTATTATTTTTTCTTAACAAGTTCAGTAAAATCAATTTAGTATACTAATAATATAGTATCGAAACTCGTAAGTGTATAATATATATAGTTGCGTGTTTTGTGAAAATTGTGATAAATGTATGAGACTATTATCGATTAAGTAAAAGGTATGTAAAATACGACCTCTAAAATAAAATTTAGTTCACTATTTTAAACAAGCAATTATTTGATTATTTAATTAAAAGTTGTTTTCAAAATTTATAATTGTTTAAAATGTAATATTTTCATGAACATCCTCTCAAATTTTTATTTTTAAATTTACTGTTATATATATTACATGGTATGATATATATTGACATGTAACCACAAAATTGATTTAATTTATTCTGTAATGTAACTGCAATATAAATTTATCAGAAAACATCTACTTTTAAGTAGTAAAAATATACGTAGAAATTACCAGTGTATTCAAAATAGTATACATGAATGTACTTACGTACGTCAAATATCAAATTGTTTTAGCTATTATTGTGGTTAACAAGGAAGTTAGTATTTTTACCTCAAATCGTGTTATAATTTACCAAAGCGTGAGGAATACTTAATGTAAGTCTAAAAGCAATGATAAGCGATGACGCCCGAGCGTATATATGTAAAAAAAAATTCAAAACGAAATATTTACGTGTCACTGTTTTTGGTTTACAAACAGCTATCATACGTTTTATAGTGAACTCTTCGCCTTTATGAGTGTAGGTAGTTCATACATTTTAAGTAAATATTTCTAACTCATTAATTTCAGATAGTTTCAGTTTTTGAGTCTTGAATGTTATATTATTTCTCTATATTTCTTGTCGGGGTAAGTCGTACTATGGTTAAAAAGAAGAACAGTTTTTCCGACATACTCTGGATACTTATTTTTTTCAGCCAATTAAAATGTTTTCTACGATTACTGTCGGGTATACTTTAAACAAGTACAACACGTCATCGAAAAATTTGCATTGCATATGATGTCATGATAAATTATATATTTGTTATGGTAATATTTTACTGTCCAAAACAATAGTTCACCATAAAACAAGTGTAATAAAATACAATTTTAATTATATGATCATCTATATTTCAATAAATATTTTTTAAATATATTAACACTCCTGTTATTATATTGAATAATAATAATAACACTTCATTAAGTTTCTTTTTTTTTTATCACACATAATATAGGTCATCAAAACGTGACTAATCAGTATTCGCTTGAAAACCAAAACCATATCTAAATGAATAGTAAACAGATACAGAACTATAAGAGTATATATGAAAAACATACGAGATATAATGATAAATTATTCATATTTCATCTCAAAGTTAAAATTATTAATTATCTTATACGTAATAATATTTAAACTGTTCGTTTTACTGTTTTAAAATTAATAAATCAAATTATCTATCGCAAAATATTATTCACGTACAATATATCATTATTTATTAATATTATGCTGTAGATATATTCTACGTGAAATTGCAAACTAACACATTATAATATAGATATTCGTAGTAAAACTTTGGTGTCATAAATTATCAAGACGGACAAAAAATATCTGTATAACAAAATAGGTTTTATAACTTTTAAAGGTCATGACTCCTTTCGGTCATTAATGAAAAGAGTTACCTAAACGTGCGTTGTATGGTCATGAAAGCTAGGCTAAGGGTAGCGTGGTTTTATATCTGTCAACTCGCCTACCTATTTTTCCGGGTTTAAAAACTTAGCGATCCGTAGCATATTACAAAATATAAATTTATGCAGGTAGAATACGCAATGTTCTACGATTTCGATTTTTGCGTTTCACTTTCTCGTATAGGCTTAATGAAGTTAAATACTCATATTACATTATAACTATAAAGTGCTGAAATATAGTTTACCTTTTGTATATTAATAATTTGTTTCACAATAAATATTATTTATTTTTGACAAACTCTTTTAATCTTAAATAATATATATATATAATATAAATTACAGAAGGAAATTTCACATAACAGCCCATTTAATATACTATATTTGTGTTCAGTTACCAACCAGATAAAATTTGACACGTCGTGCATAATATAACTTTTAAAGTTGGTACTCGTCATTTTATTCGAAAAGTATTCACAGACACAAAATTGAAAACAAAAATTTTTGATAACTAATAATTTCATTGTTATATTGGAATCGAACACAGATGTTGAAAAACTGTACAAACAATATATTTATATAATAAGACAAAAATATAACTTTAACGTCAGAAGTACTAGCCAGTCTGTTGAGGTAAAATATAAGGTTCCCATAAGACTCCTGGTTACCATTGTGAAGGTCAATTTGAAGGTTTTTTTTATACTTTTTGGCCTTCAATGTTTCGTTTATTTATTATTGTTTTCTTCGTCACAAATCTCTCTCTTTTTTAGCATGGCAGACATACAAAATAATATTATCACCTCATAAAATAAAGTGTATATAAAATACAAATATATATTGTGTGTCTGTGTTTTCTAGAACTATTAAAACCTTTTTAACCTTATTATGTTTAATAAATTATGTTATTAATATTCAAAAATAATATTAACATTCCACTATAAAAAAATGTTATAATCTTATTTTTTTTATTTTTTTATAGAACTTCGAACCTGTACCTTATCCGGTGAAGGACTATGGAAAATTTTACACAGGAGATTCTTACATTGTTTTAAACGTAAGTGTATTTATCCATAATAAATATAAAGTTAACAGCATTTTACATTTTAAATGTCTTCATCTATATAGATGTATATGCATGTCATATATTAATTTGAATAATGTAAATAAAATATATTTTAAATATTTAGTCGAAAGAAGATAAAAGCAAAAACAAGAAATTCACATCTGATATTTACTATTGGTCGGGTAGTTCTTCGTCACAAGTTAGTGAATGAAGTTTATATATTATTAAATATTGCCCATTTTTATTTTAATGATTTATACTTAACATTAAGGATGAAGTTGGCGCTGCAGCAATTCTTTCTATTCAATTGGATGATGCTCTTGGTGGAGATCCGGTACAACACAAAGAAACTCAAGACCACGAAAGTCAAGCTTTCCTAGCACTTTTTACACCTTGTCAGCATACCTACGAACAAATTAATTACTTTTTCAATCGTTACCACTAATAATCAATACTATTTAATTTTTTCGTTTAGCCATTCGTTATCTACCTGGGGGTGTAGCTTCCGGATTTAATCATGCGGAAATTAATGCCGGAGGGGAAAAGAAACTGTACCAGATCAAGGGCAAAAAAAATATTCGAGTGAGACAAGTTGAACCAAAAGTAACGTCTATGAACGAAGGTGACTGTTTCATTTTGGACACTGGTAAAGAAATCTTTGTGTATGTCGGACCAAAAGCCAAAGGAACTGAACGTTTGAAGGCTATAAACGTTGCCAATCAAGTTAGAGATCAGGATCATTCTGGAAGAGTTAAAGTAAACATAGTCGGTGAGTAACATACGTTGTATCAAACAATAATTGAACATTTGATACTTGATTATTTTAATAACTTATTAAATATGATGATATTAGCATAAAGCTTGAATATCTATGCCTTATTTAACAGTCTAAATAATAGGTTTTTTTTGAAACCTTGTTAGTATTGTAATTGTGTTGTTTTTTAAAAGCCACAGAAACCTACTAAAATCAAATCAAATATGTATATAACATTAAATAATAAGAATCTTGTATGTTTTTATATTGATTCACTATTTGAAACCTATTTTAATTGCTTTATAATTATAAATAATTTAGTAATTTAAAAGTTCTTAATCGAAAAAAAAACTTTTACTCAAATTTAAAACTATGATAATAATATTATAAAATTATACTTTTTATGATATTCTTACATTTAAATGTCATTCTCTTAAACTAAACTAAATTCATTACATTATTATATTTTATGCCTTACTGTATGTGAAAAAATTATAAAATAAAACAATATTTAGAAAAGTTAATTTTACTTTATACTTGTTTATTTTTAACTGAATTCTTAATAAATATCACTTTATTTTAGATACAAAATATATATTTATAAATAAACAAATAATATATGTATTTATTCCTGCTTGCCCATTAGTTTTCATTTTATGTTTTTTTTATAAAAATTGAAATCTAAGAACTTGTAATTTATTTTATGAACTTTATAATTTTTAATAAAATCAAAAAATATTTAACTCTGAAATGATAAACAAAATTCACAACTATAATACTTAAAATTGTAAACATTAATATTTAATAACAAAACTAAAAAAATGTAAATGTAAAAATTTAACGTAGTGTACAACATTAAGTTGTAAATTCAAAAACTAATTTTGAATTGATAAAAAAATGAAAAATATTCGATTCGTATTGAACTTCGAGTACTTACATTTTATTTAGAGAATCTGTTAAAATATATGAGCAATAATAGCCAAATAGAAGAGAAAGTCATTAAAACTTCCCGCATAATTTTGAAATATTTATTTATTTTCTAAAATTTATATTGATTTATTAATCATCTAAAAAAGCTTATAAACTTTATAATTCTTACTTCAGTTTTTCAAATGAAACTCATCTGCTAAACCTTTCTAGATGTATGTAATTTTTATGATAAAACATATAAAAACGCCTCTAAATATGTTGAAATTAATTTTAATTTAAAACTATCTTATCGATATTAAGTTTCTTATAACACTTTAAGTAAAGAAATACGTTTAATTATATTATTATACAAATATAATTTAAACAATATTTTTTATTAGATGGATCAAGTACTCCAGAAGAATTTGAAAAATTCTTTAAAGAATTGGGCTCTGGATCCGCCAAACAAGTCCCACCAGCTGTTGACGACGATCAAGAATTCGAAAAGAAAGAAGCAGTAAGCATAACTATTAGTTAAACTCAAACATTTATTTTTAGATTAACCATATATCTTTAAGGCAACACCAGTTTTATACAAAATATCAGACGCTCAAGGAGGAAAAATTACTACCGAAAAAATTGATCAAAAACCACTTGTTCAGACACATTTGAAAACTGATGTATGTTTATCAAAGGGCACAGAAATTAAAGCAGAGTTACAATTTAAATCGTAATTTATTTTTTTTAGGATTGCTTCATTTTGGATACAGTTTCATCAGGAATATATGTTTGGATCGGTAAAAAGGGAACGACTCAAGAAAAAGTCGAATCTCTTAAGCGCGCCCAAGTTTTCATTAAAGAAAATAATTATCCGGCTTGGACAAGAGTACGTCCAATTATATATAAACATATATATAATAATATTATAATAAAATTTAATTATTTTTTCCACAATAGGTAATCCGGGTTATCGAAGGAGGTGAGCCAACAGCCTTCAAACAGTACTTTGATGGATGGAAAGACGGAAATGGTAGCCGTTTGTAATAGTTTAGCCACAAAAAATAAAAATAAATGTTTTGCATAAACTATTATAATTTTCTGAATAATGTTCATTATTTTATTAAAATACACTTAAAAATTAAATACTTAAACACAACAAATTTTATATACATATACTTGATTATGCTATATAACATGAATACCTTCATATTATATTTAAGAATTATGTTTTGGAGTATAAAATTAATATAATGTTTAATATATATATATATATATATATACACTTATATTAAAACAGTTTAACATAGGTAATAAAATATATATTTATAAACTTGTAAGCTACCAAAGATGATAATCGAGTTTGAATTATTTGATTTAAAAAAAACAACGTACAACATTTCAAAATCATTCACTATTATTTAGAATATATGTTACTTTATAACTATACCTTCAACTAGGGTACTGAGTAAATTTAAGAATATTTACATACATTTATTGTTTATCTACATATTCCATAATATCATCGTCATAAAATACGACTAGTCTCATACTAGATTAATTTTATAATCCTATGTAAGTCTATATATAGTAGATTAACAGATTTCATATTTAACTTAGCTAATAACCAGTGACGTACGCAGAAAAAAGTTTTGGGTGGTATTTTTGAAGATCAGAACTTTTTCTTGATAAACAAATGAAATTTTACTATGACTTATAATATACTTACATTACTTTTTTTTGAAGAATATCTTCACAATTAACTTCTATGTCTCTATATACATTTAACAATGTTAATCTATTTAACCTTTCTTCACTTGTTTTATTACATAAATACATTTTCAACCTACGAAGGGAAAAAAAGAGCGTTCACTTGTAGCTATGGATACTGGGAGAGTAGGTAAATAAGATAGAAATTAATTTCAAGATATTACGAAAAACATATCAAAAATTTCAAATGCATATTTTTGAATAATTCTTAATTTTTAGATTTAAGAGCTCTTTGCATATTTTTTCAAATGATCATTTAGTGTAAAAAAGTAAAATAAAAGTCCATATTTTTAAGACAATTTTTCTTCTTTTTCAAGCGCATAAGTGCATGTAAATTTAGTACTTTTTAAGAAAAATTCCGAGCCCAAGAGATAATGTATGTACATTGTATAGCAATGTCATAAAAACCTTAAAATTAATATTAAGATTGTTATCGAGCATAACTCACCAAATATTCTAAAACCAAACATTTCGGGGGGTGTTTGAACACCCAAAACACCTCTCTGTGTACATGCCTGCTAATAACTATTGCTAAAATGACTTATTCGATTGAATCGAACATTTTAATTTACTGGAATAATTTCACAAAATTATAATTATTACTAATATATGTTTAAAATCTTTTAATAATTAAATGCTTACATTTTAAAAGGTTTAACTTATTTTATATTTTTCCATATTATTATTTTTTTTTTTTTTTAATTGAAAATACACGTCTGTATTATAAATATAGCAATAAATTCCTTAAGCGTATAAAAGTTAAATATTATTCTGTTTCCTTATTAAATTAACAAAAGGATGTTTTAACCCTAAATATTATAAATGTAATGAGAAAATTATATTTCTATTTGCTAATTATTTTTGAAATGAACATGACTCGTATTCCGATGTAATAAAAGAATGATTTTTGGCAATTGCTCTTTAATTTACGCTTATAGGCATCTCCACTTAACGGTTTAACCAGTGTAATTAATTATACTTGGCAGTGTGTTTAAAAGGATGCTAATATGTACCATTAGTATTATTCAATTTCATAATGTCAATATTAGGATTGTAAATTTTTTTCTCAAATTTTTCGTCAACTCAATTGATGATCATTTATTTTTATTCTAATAAAGTATTCATACATTACCCTCTTCAAAATGTTTGTACTTAACAGTTATCTTTCTCCCGTTAACAGTGAATATTTACGTTAAACGTTAAATTCTATTTTTTCATTGCTTTTGAGTGAAAAACATGGCTTTTCTGTTTTAATTTGCATTCAATGCTGATAGTTGTTTATATTAAAATCATTACACTGCAACAAAGATTCAATTATCCGAAGTTTTTGGAATCGATTCAGGTGCCAAGTAAACGATTTTTGTGGATAATCAAATAAAAAATTATGTACACCTCAATGTATATATATTATTCGTAATCAAATTTAAATATTTCGTGCTATTGTAGTAGAGCAGGATAATGTTTAAATTTAAAATTTTTCTCAAATCTTCCTTAAAATGAACTATAAAAAGTTCAAAAAAATTCCATTCTACAGCAGCTTTTTAACCAAACTGTATTTGAACAAACTTATTGTTTGCGATTATTTTAATTTAATTTACATTACACTTCTTGGGTACCTCATTAAATTGAAACGTAGATATCATCTACGAAAGCTTATAAAATAAAATACACTGGATTGAAGCTCTTCCAGCCCAGCATTCCGAACACAATATTTTTTTTTTTTTTTTTACAATTTTCAGTTGAAAATTCGAACAGCCAAGTTATAAATTATTATAAATAATTGGCGACTAATAAAAAAAAATAAACATTTTGATTTCCGAATGCTAAGCTGACGAGACCTCGGACACAACATGGACAAATGGTCGTCCGAAAAAAATACAATAAATGTTGTTCAACCGAAGAATCTATTTGTTGTGTTCGAGCCGCTTCCGGGCGGCTACGTATCATCACGAAGTTGCGTCCTTGACACAGAGCACAACTGGACGGTTGCGTCGGTGTGGCTATCTTTTACGGTTCACTTGCTACGCGCGTGTGACACAACGTGGTCGGCGATTGCTGATTGTGTGGTAATTGAACCAAGCAGATAATCGTACACAATATTATTATGGTTGAAACTTGAGATTTTATGTATTTCGATGACCTGCTCGAATTCCGGCTCGACGGATCGTAATTCATTCGAATACATTTCGAAGCGTACCGTTGGTCCGGTTCGAGTGAATAAAATATAGTGCCAACTCGACGGCAGAGGCGAATCCGTTTACACATCACAATAGTAATACGCAGTACGCATAAACGCGGTCGCCGACGTGGGATTGTTGGGAAAGGCGATCATTTGAATTCTAATAAATTTTCCTCGGTCGTCGAGTACCGCGTGTTCCCGGACACTGCTATCGTACAACGACAATATGATTGTTGCGCGGCAAAGCGTACGTAAAGCCGCGTCCACACTAGCGTAACAAAACGACCAACTGGTCGATGGCGAGCTTGAAACATTCTATCGAACAAATTGGCGATCCGAAGCGACACGACAAGCGTCTATACTCAGCGATAGGTTGAACTACTATGAAGTTATTCAGAAAAGTTATTTAGGTAATATAAGTTAATTAATTGACGAACATGCACAAATATTTTTTAGTTGTTCGGCGAACAGTTTGTCAAATAGTTTGACGAACAGTTCGTCGTTTTGTTACGCTAGTGTGGACGCGGCTTAATGTAGTCCACGCAACAGTATATTATAATATCCCCGAGCGGTAAAGTGCGAGTCCAAGCGACTATTATACTGTTGAACATAGTTTATCGCGTACAATAAAATGTACTTTCTCGTTTTCGAACGACCGTACAGTTTTTCTGCGCAAAATTCAACATGAAAATGTATTTTATTACCGTTCGATCGCAATGTAATTGTATATGTACTTATTTTGCGTTTCGTAATCCATTCGAACGCACGTTGTTGTCATTCGAATATCGTCGTAAAAACCTCAACATGAACGGTTAAATTCGGTTTTGTGTGAATATATCATTACCCTGAAGGCGGAACGTGTACTTTTGGTTTCCGCGAAATATTTTAAGGCGTTCGACGTCGTTCAGTTAACGGTTTCATTCTAATTCGATTTTCGTACCGCGTAAAACGATATGGAACTTAGATGGTTAATCATCGATAGTGGCTTTATCCGATTCGGTAGTACAACAGCTTACTGTTCTGTGTTTTTTGGAAATGTTGTGTCGTCACGTTGGACGAAGATATTATTTATTATTTATCTGTCATACATTAATATTATAATTAACCTAATGCATGTAACCATAAACCATACGCTAAATAAAATAAATAAACTGAATAATAATATTATAATATCACCAGAGACGAATCAGCAACAACGGGTATCATTATAATGGGTAGAAATTGATAAAACAATTTTGATAGTTAAACAGCCTTGGGTCACAATTACATATTTTGTCAATTGTCGTCTATTTTCCCAGTCCATTGCATGTTTTATGTTTTCTAGATATAGAAAACCAAAATCTAAATGTTAATTAATTTGACTCAAATGATCACCTAATTTTTTTTAAATTATCACTTTATTATTTTTTCTATTATTATTATTATTATTATTTTATTTTTTATTTTTTTTACGTATAATAGGTTATATTGGTTTTCAATTCTAAAAAAAAGAGAGAGTTATTGGATAAATAACAAATAATATATTTTATTCTCAGGAAAATATTTATAGGATAATTAGTAAAAGTGGCCAAAACCATGATGTAGCTATAATAAAGTATTTATATCTACAAGACTATAATATATAAAAGAATCAATTATGAACTGTATCCTTATTGATTGTCACTTTTCAAATTTCTCAACAATTCACACAACACATTAGAAACATTAAAATTAAACTACAGAACATTTTTTTTTTAACACTAATGTTTTTTTAAACAAACTGTTGATCGTTTTTTCATAAAATTCCAGTCAAAATAATTGTTTAATTGTAATATTTGACAACTTTATGAGTATATATTTTAGGAAATATATACACATAGGAAATATGAATAAAAAAATACTGGCTCATATCCAAAAAAAACGAAGAAGTGATTTATTCACAAAGGCGACGAGGTAGAGAATTTTAAGAATTTATTTCTTCGTTCGAGATTAGATGTCAATATACACTATACACGTGAATAAAACAAATAAAATATTATGTTTCTTAATAGTAGCACTTAAAATGGTATCCAGAAGACTATAAAATAAAATGTCATCCCTTGTAAATGCATATCACAATACAGAAATCAGTCGTATTCGTGATAATAACGTTAATTGCTAGGTTAATAAAGAA